TACCAGGATTACATGCATCAGCCACTATGCCCGGCTGTGTCTCTTTTTTTCTATCGCAACTGTCTAGATCTTGGTACTAATTCCTGAGTGAGAATCTGATGGGTCAGTTCTATCATGGACTATCACCAAACTGTAGATTGACTGCCAACTGTCCCCCATATTCCCTCAGCATCGCCATTTCAGTAATTGTCAGTATTGGGCTGCTCTTGTACCTGCAACTCTCTGCTTGAGGGCTTTCTCTTGGCCCAAGCTTGTGGGCAAGTCTGGCAGTGCTGGGGACGTGGTCTAATCAGTGGCAGATGATATTGGTGGATATGGCAGATTGTTTGAGTTGAAAGTACCGACTCTTAAACCCTGTCTGAATCCATGCTGCCTGCCTTAAGACTTTGCCATTTCTCTCACTAAAGAGAGGGCATCGATTTTCCCATCACTTAAATAAGGGCGTCATGTGATTTTCATTGGTCTATAGGGTATTAGCAGACTTGCTGTAAGCAGAGGCTTGTGAAAGTCCTTGTGCATTTCTGCTTTCTCTGCTATTCCTCTGTGACTGCCCTGAGAACATGTCTGGGCTGGCCTGCGTAGGAATGAGACATACGGAGCAGCCAAGGCCTTTGTAGAACAATTGACAGTCCTGACCCCTGGGCATGTGAGAGACAGCCAAGCGAAGATCAGCAGACCCAACTAGCCAATCCACAGCTGGACTGCAGATGCATGAGTGAGCTTAGCTGAGATCAAAAGAAACTGCCCAGCTGACCTGCGGACTCTTAAGCAGAATAAATGGTTATTTGAAGCTGCTAGATTCTCCTTGAACTCTAAGCCTGGAGGCTTCATGATCCAGGGAGGAGAGGTTTGGTTCTTACTTCTTTAGCAAGAGATAGCAAAAGGTTTGAGTATTAGACATTGTTGAGGAGGAAGATTTTTCTAAATTTCTTTAGATTTATTTGTTTACCATAGCAAAAGCCAGTCTCCCTAGACTTTCTCTGATTTAGTAAAAAAGGAAATAATTATCCCCATCTAGGCCTAGCCTCAAAGCTAGAATTGAGAAGAAGGAGAATATGACACAGAGAAAGCCTGTCCCTTCTGGTGAGCTGTTTGAGGGAATAAGAGGAGTCAGAAAGTGTGAGAGGCTGAGGCAGAAAAAGGAGCCCTTTAGACAGGTAGGTCCTGAATTTTCTCTCCCATGAAAATGAGGAACACCGTTAGAGGAAGCTGTGCAACTCTGAGGGAATCACTGTCATTCACATGAAGACACCTGAACCCCCTCCTTCTTATACCCAACTGCCATTTTGGAAAGAAACGATTGTGCATATGTGCATTGGATGTGTATGTACGTGTGACGGGGGAGTGCTGAACATGAAACGGAGACTGAGAAGGATGGTGGCCACTCTTGGGGGAAGATGTCTTTAGCTCTCATGCTCTCATGGTTGCAGAATGGCTGTGATATCTCCATGTGGTGTGTCTGTGCTCCACACAGGATAAAGCTGAATCTTTTAAAGAGCTTTCCTGGAAGTCACAGACAGCAAATTCCATTTATATCTCATTGACCAGGACCCAGTCACATAACCAAATCCTGCTGCGAGAGAATCTAAGGAGATCAATATTTTTAAGTGGACACATTGTCAACCTAAACAAAAACAGGATTCCGTGAGGAACTAATGAACAGATTTTGGGTAGGTATATATGTTAGGGTAATGCTTGCTGGTTTAACAATGAAACTCTACAATTTCAATGCGTAACATGACAGAATTTATTTCTAGGCCATTAAAAGTCCCATGTGGGTGTTCTGTCAACGGTCAGCCTGTTATCATGTGGCACTGCCATTCTCTAGGGCAAGGGGGTGTTCTTCATTCATTGGACAGATGGGAAGGGAGGGTAGAGAAAGTACCCAGTTCTGTAGCCACCATGACCTAGAAATGGCACACATCACTTCCACTTACATGCCATGGGTGAAAACTAGTTTCAGGGCTCTATCTAGAAGCGAGCAATCCTGGGGGAGTTTCCTGCCTGGGTATCTGCTTCCCGTCACAACTTTATATTTAGAAAGGAGCATAACATTTATTTCTCAGTTTATTCTTTTTATTTGCCTATATTGTGTATACTGGATAACCGATTTTAAACAAACTTTTAATTAAAGCATAGAATATAATCATAAATATGCTTATATGACAAACATATAGTCCAATGCATTTTTTACAAACTTAACACACCTATATGTGACCAGTATCTAGATATAGAAACAGAAAATAATTAGTACTTCAGAATCTCCTCTGGGGAGGATCAGTTTCTCTGTGCATAGTTAGCTGTTGCGGCAGAGACGGTCAGCAGTGTCTGCCGCAGTCACTAACAGCAGGAAATTTATATTTTCAATTTATCTATGTTGCTTATTAAGTGCCATATCAATCACTGGTGCAATTTGGTGGCTCAGTTTGATGGGAGTTTAAGCAAACAACTCTGTGTATGACCAGTCATAGGTCAGGGTACTGCCGTGTCCTGAATTGGTTCAATTTCTTGTGGCCTGTTGCATAGTCAAAGGGTGCAGGTAACGGAAACCACCCTTGCAGATAAACAATGCTACGAATGTTTTCCGTTTTGCCTGATACATGACAGTGTTTTTGGGTTCTGAGTAACTAGTGGCGATGTTCAGTTTAATGGACCCTACAAATCAAATGCCCAAAGCAAAACATTTCTCCTTAAAATACAGCTGAAATTGTAAGTACATTTGTATTGTGGCGTTTACATAAATGTGAATGAGGCCAGCAAGCATACAGGAGCTAGTTAAGTGTTTCACAGGCTTGTGTTAGTCTGGTAGGGTGTTCATTATGGCTTAGTTTCATCAGGCCTAGTCTTAATGAGATCCTCGTATAGGCAAATGTGCAAAGGGCTGGGTGGGCACCATTTTTGGGTTTGTTGGAGTGGCCTTTGGGGACTAGGTGCCGTTGCAGCTGCTGGGAGGTATGAACAGAGTAGTAGTTGTGAGCATTGGTTTTGGCCTCAGGAATATCTGCATTGAATCACGGATTTGATACTTTTTGGCCACATTTACTGGGCAAATGGCTTAACCTATCTTAGCTTCCTCTTCTAGAATTCTTCTGAAGCTCGTTATAATTTTTATTTTATCATTTTTTTTTTTGAGATGGAGTTTCGCTCTTTTCACCCGGGCTGGAGTGCAGTGACATAATCTCAGCTCACTGCAACCTCTGCCTCCAGGGTTCAAGCGATTTTCCTGCCTCAGCCTCCTCAGTAGCTGGGATGACAGGTGTGCAACACCACACCTGGCTTATTTTGTATTTTTAGTAGAGAGCGGGTTTCTCCATGTTGGTCAGGCTGATCTTCAACTCCTGACCTCGGGTGCTCCGCCCACCTTGGCCTCCCAAAGTGCTGAGATTATAGGCGTGAGCCACCGCACCCAGCCTGAAGCTTGTTATTGTAGCTCAGACATTGGTTGGGTCACCCTAGACACTCTTCCTTAATAGTTGGATGAAATTAGCCTGAACTCTAACAGTTGGTGGAAAGTCCAATGCCCCGTCTTAGGAACTCTGGGTCTCCCATGTCTGCCATCTTTACACATATTATCCTATGCGTGCTATCCCATGCACATGCCCCAAGTGGGTCATCCTATTTATTTAATCCCAAAGCTTTTGTGTATGCTCTGTGTTAAAGGTTTGAGAGGCAGAGACATTTTCATTTCATTAACAGAAACAATTAAAAATTGAATATTAGACATTCCTGTACTTAGAGCTTTGCTCACTTCTGCACCTCAGATTCCAGCTGCTATAAAAGTTGCTTTCTAAGGCCATCTGTATGGTTGTGTAGTTTACACAGTGCACAGAAGAATCTGGCCAAGGGAGGTGAGGGAGGGTAAAATCCAGCCCGTGATCTGCTTATCAAGCTGTGAGCCCTAGTGAAGGGCTGTGTTTACTCAGAGGTGGTCCTTTTTGCTAATTAATCCACTCAGATGGGCACCTTTATCTAAATCACACAAAGGCTATGTTGACATCATTTTTCTCTTTCCTATCCCCTTCTTTTCTCTGGTCTTTATATCTAAGGAGCAATTAAACAAATTCCTTTGATAAATTTATATTCTCTTAGCCTACGCGCTGGCTACATATTTGTTTTCTGAATTCAGAATTTTCAGAATGTAAAATGTAGAAAGTTGTGTTATGTAACAACTCTAGCAGGGTCTGTAAAAGCACTCTGTAATTAAACACATTAATATTTACCTGGAAAATTGGATGAATATTCACACGGCGTTTGACGAATAAAAACTATAAATAGTCGGGTCTTGCCACCAAGTGATTCAAGTCAGGTCAGGGTTTACTGCCATTGAGTTTTGAAAAAGCTTTCAGTTTTCAGAGCCTTTGGGGTTTCAGGCTAAGGGATTTGGGCCTGTATTTTCTTATGCAGAACCACTGTGGTCCCCTCAGCTCCTACATACAAGCTCATCTTGGAGTCTCCTTTTGCCTATCCAAAACTATGTTGTAAATTTGAAATGAACTCTTGTCAAAGTCTGACTGGCTGGATTAGATTTTTAGAAAGGTGAGTCCCAAACCTCACTGCTTATTCGGATTTCCCAAGGATCTCTTCAACATTCTGGCACCCAGATCTACCACAGATCAGTCAAGTGAGAAGGCCTGCAGGTGGGCAGGCATTCTGACTTAATGATCTCTAGGTGTTTCCAATGTGAAGCAAAGTTTGAGAACTTCTGGCTTTGGATAAAGGGGAAGCATCATTTGGAAGGATGCTAAGGTCTGTCTCCTCATCACAGAGAGGGCTAAGCTGATGTTGAAACAAGGTACTGAAAAATTACCTTTTGCATCTGCTCTCTAGCGTGGAGGTGAGGGAAGAGTTGGGTAGGGCTGCATTAGCCTACTGTCCCGAGGCAGGATACCTGGGCCTTGTGGTAGGGAAGTAGGTTACTCTAGCAAACTTGGCCTGGAATAATATAACAAAGACCCTGATGACCAGATGGAAACTAGCCAGGAAAACATTGAATCTCCCTGTCTCTCTGACCCTCATCCTGCCTCTGGGTCAATTCAGCTTCTTACCACTGAGGTTCATCGCCTGTTATTGGCTTTGTCGGGTCCCTTTGGCCTGGAAGAGGAAGGTGGGCTTTCTCATATTACTCTTGCCTCTCCCTAACATTATGTCTTTTACTCACACTCAGGGTAAAAGACATGAGGTTAGGGTTTCGTATGGTACTCATCCCACTTGATTAGATTTTGGCTCTTATGTCTCCACTCCAGCATTGTGCTTCTGGCTGACATCCCAAAAGACCCCATGAAAGGAAGCAGGCAGGGTCCAAGAGGTCAACATCACCCAGGCTGCTGAAAAGCAGTCGGGGTAGGGAACCCCAAAATACATGGTGCAAGGAGAAGCAAGGGAGGAGATGAGTGATGTAGTTTGAATTATTGTTCAGCAAATATTCAGTTCCTTCTCCCTCAATTTCCCACCCTGTTGATTTGGGGCTTGGCTGTGTGATGTTTTTTTGGCTGGTAGAATGTTAGCAGATAGGACAGAAACAGATATCTTACCCCTGCTTGGATTATAGGGCAAGGTCTCTCATGCTCCCATGATCCACTAAAGGAAAGCATGCCTACATATTTACTGTCTTTCCTGCCTGGGGCTCAACATGAAGAGACACCGACAGCCTGGAGCCGAGCCAGCCAACCAGCAGTTGAAAGCGAACCATCCCAGCAGACCCAGAGGACTGTGAGTAAGAAAAATACACATTTGTTGTTGTAGCCACTGAGTTTTAAGGTACTTTGTTACGTGGCATTATTATGGCACTAGCTGACTAATACAGATGTAAGTTAAAGGAGGATTGAAGGCCATTCCTGTTTCAGCAGGGAAATCTTTTTGCATTTCAGCATGGACTTAGGGCTGATTCTAGAATAAGTAGCTTAGAGCTGGTGGGTAGGCAAGTGAGACATGCTGAGCTGCTATAAGTGAGTTGGCTCAACAGGAGGGTGGGAGGTGGGGAGGAGGCACATAGTCCCCCTTGCTATCTGTGAGGGATTGTTTCCCAGAGCCTCTCAGATCCCAAAATCCACATATACTCAATTCCCAAAGTTGGCCCTTGGGAACTCATATATAAAAAAACCAGCCCTTCATATCCATGGGTTTTGTATCTTGCAAATTCTGTATTTTCCATCTGTGCTTGGTTTCGGATGCCAAACCCACAGAGATGAAGGACTGATTGTATTTATTGAAAAACAAATTCGTGTGTAAGTGGGCCCATGAAGCTCCAAGTTGCGTTGTTCAAGGGTCAACTGTAAGTCTGCTTTACATTGAGAATTTGTGTTTTTTTTTTTTTTTTTTACATTTTATCTCCAGAATTTGTTTTAAATGGAAATGGATCCAGGTAAGCAACTCAGGAGCTCTACTTTATAAAGGAGTTAGATCTTGTCCTAAACTGTAACAAGCAAATAAGCTAGACAAACAATCAATCAAAATCAGTCACTTCTCAGAAATATTCCCCAGTCCCTGCCCATCTCAGACCTGTCCTATTTCTCTGTTGTTGCTTTAGAGTGTCACAGAATGACCTGTAGGGTAGTCATGCCTTTTATGTTTGTCTTTATAGAAAAGCAAGTCTGACCTTGGCCTCTGGGTATCTGAACAATAAATTTTAAAAAGATTTAAATCAAACAGAACCTCATAGGCACTCTCATCCAGTTCTTTTTTTTTTTTTTTTTCTTCTTTCTTAAAAGAAATTGTCTTCCTTCCACACAGGAAAAGGAATGCACTGTTGTTTAATTCAACATTAAAATATGGAATAAGCAAATACAATTCTTCCTAATTAAATTCCACTATGTTAGGTAGTGTGAAGGACAATTTAGGCTACGTGAGATGTATGTATTGGCGAACAAAAGGATTCTTATAACCGAAGAAGTCAGGGAGATGGGCTAGACAACGTTTAGCAGCTTTCTTTATTGCAAGACTTTTCAGAGTCTTTGTCTAGTCAGTGCACTTTTTTTTTTTTTTTTCTCCTCAGGATCATCTCTTGGGAGCAGGGTGGAAAATGCTTTCAGAGACATTGTATTAGATAAATGCCTGGGCTTATAATAATCTCCTCTATGATCGTCAAATGTTGTCCTTGAAGCAATTAAATGATTGCCACGCCCCGGGAGTGGAGACTTGGGTTCACTCTGCCTGATTTCCTAGATGTGGCCATCTCTTGATCAAGAGCCATATCTTCCTCTCCCTTTCCTGGAACCACCTTTGAAAGTGCACGGCATGAGTTTGGCAAGCTTGTTAATGCCTGGGTATTTATAAATATGTAAATATTTCATTCCTGCTGCTTTCCTCTGTGCAACGCATGCTCCCTTGCGAAGGTATTTGTACTAACAGAGCTGAAATCCACCGGCACCCCCACATCTGTCATTGTCTTTCTCCTGGAATTTAATTGGCAAGGGTGACTCAAGGGACCTTATTTGGTAGCACTTTGGGGAGGACTCTTTCCCTAAGGATTCATGTTCCCAGTGACAGATTTTTCCTTGTGGTTGACAAGAGGGGCCTGTAAGCTGAAGCTTCTGCAGAGACTGGTGAGCCTCGCATCTTGGTGTAGCAGGATTCTCCTTGCTCCTTGAGATCGTACATGAGAGACTTGGATGCTTTTCACTTGGGTTCCCCACAACAGCGCTTCACCACAAGGACAGTGTTCTTCTATTCTAAAGACAGGAAAGCTTGCTGGGGCTTATTGGTGATGGAGATAAAGGGCAAAATTGCAGGGAAAAAATTTTCTTATCAAAATCAGATATTTTCCAGGTAAAAGAAGCACCATTTTTTTTTTTTTTTTTTGGTCTCCGCATCTTTCTTCCATAGTCATGTGGAGTCAGACTTGATACTTCCAGTTACTTAGCACTTTTTAATACACATCAAGACTCAGGAGCTTAGAAATGAGAATTCCTGGTAGCTTAGTGAGAAAATGATTAGGAAAAAAAAAAATCACTCACCTGAAAAAGGAAGCACCAAATAATACACCAATGTTAGATTGTGATCTTTTATTGTAGGCTAGAGTTTTTCATGGTTTTGGTTCCATCATCTGAAATAGGTTTGTACTCATGCAAATCCAACTTCCAGACCACATCTTGCATTTAGTTTTCTTTGCTTAAAACTGAAGGTAATTGTGTGGAACTTGGCATTTGGAGCATTGGTTTTATTAAGAGCCCTCATTGAATCCCTATAACAATGGATTATTAGAGAAGAAATTGCCTGATGGCTTGGAATCACATGAGATTACCTCACTTATTCACAAGCAACTGTCTTTTCCATGTTAATATTCCTTGTATTCTTTGATATATATGATGTATACTAAATGGGTCTCCTGAGGGCAGCTTTGGCGTTTTTCCTTTTTTTTTTTTTTTTTTTTTTTTTTTTTTAAGATAGGGTCTTGCTCTATTACTCAGGCTGAAATGCAGTGGTACAATCACAGCTCGCTGCAGCCATGAACTCCTGGGCTCAGGCAGTCTCCCGCCTCCGCCACCCTAGTAGCTAGGCAGTGCCTGGAATTTTTTTTTTTCTTTTTTTAGTTTTTGTAGAGACAGAGTCTTGTTATGTTTCCCAGGGTGGACTTGAGCTCTGGGTTCAAGTGATCTTCCCTCCTCAACCTGCCAGATTGCTAGGATTGCAGGCATGAGCCTCTGTGTCCAGCCAGATTCGGCTTTTGAATTCTATGCAAGAGACCCATTTTCTACCTTTTACCATATTTAATTGTAGTAGGTAGTTTCCCTATCACAATTCTGAAAATGATTGAACTTAACTTTGATTTTCATTATTCTTATTTTTCCATTTATTGGCAAGCATATCGGCTCTGCCAGAGTCATGTAATTATCTTTGTGTCTGCCAGATTAGGGCATATGGTGTATTATTTTGGGAAGGCAGATAATGCTCCCATTTAGAGTAGCATCCAGGCAGTCTGAACATGCCTTAGAAAGGGTTTCTGTATAAATTAATTTTCCCTCTCAACTGTGTAATGGCAGTGTATTAATTTTTTTGCTCTTTGAGGCATGCAGATTTAACTCGGAGAGGATTTTATAATGGTCTCCCATGACACCATTGGTTTGGCAATTTGAATATCTTAGCCTGCAGTTTTTTCTTTTCTTTTTTTTTTTCTTTTTAGAAAGCAAGCTGAGAATCTGGTGTGCCTCTTAGAAAAAGACCACTGAATGAACAGCATTGGGTCTGAAGAGAAATAAGAGGGCTGTCAGATGCTTCCACCACTGTCAGAATATCAGACGCTGTGTCTAAGAAGGGGAGACTGTCCAACAGAGGTAAGGACTTCAAAGCACCCGTCAGTGGCTCCAGCTCTCTCCTGTGGAGTCTAATTGGAGTCACGCAGCTAAATCCCTGCCCAGTGCTTTGGAAACTCAGGGATACATCCTGAAGACACTTCAACCTGAAAAAAAAGGTCATGGGCAAGTTTTAAAGGAAAAAACACTTTTTTTTTTCTTATTCTTTGTTCACAGAAGTGCTATGGTTAAAAGAAAAAGATGGTGTCTCTAAAGATAACTGAAGTCAGGCATAACGGTGTGCACCAGTAGTCCCAGCTACTAGAGAGGCTGAGGTGGGAGGATTGCTTGAGCCCAAGAGTTTGAGACTAGCCTGAGCAAACGTGTGAGACTCCCCATCTCTTAAAAAGAAAAGGACCAGCTTGAAAGTTGACCTAACTTTTGCATGTTTCCTTTTTATGGCTCTTGCCTCTCTGCTGAAGGAATGCGTAGTTCTTTAGAGTAGATGAACTTTGAGGATGCCCTGACCATTGCACCATGCTTCCTGACTTCCATCACCACATCTGCTAAGAGTCACTAAACAGGCACTTGTGGAATAGTGGTCCTCAAACTTTGGCCTGCATCAGAGTCACCTAGAGGGCTTGCAAACAGCTAAGCTGCAGCCCCAGAGTTTCTGATTCTGCTGGTCTGGACTGTGGTCCGAAAAGTTGCATTTCTACCAAGTTCATGGATGATGATGTTTCTGTTCTGGGAACCACCCTTTGAGAACTATTAGTGGAGAGATAGAAGCTAAACATGCAGACCTGCATCTGAATTGCTTGAGTTCATGTACAGTGATTGGCTTTCAAGATACTGTGCAAACAAAAATGTGTGTGTATCAGACCAGTGCCTTTGCTTTGCATGATTTCAATATACGCAAGTTTCAGTTAACATGGTATCATGTACAATGAGGACTGCCTGTGATCTTTGACCTCTCTGTGCTTCAGTTTTCTCATCAGAAAATGGGAATAATAATACCTACCTTATACAATTGTTGTGAGGATTATGTAAAAAAATACTTGGAAAGCACATAAAACAAACAGTGCCATATACGAATAGCTATTATAATTATTAGAGTAATAGCCTTAGAATTAGAAGATTTTAGACCCTGGTGGGATTTTAGAGAGATAATATAGTCTAACTGTTCACTGCACCCTCTTCTCTAGGGGAAGAAACAGAGTCACAAAGAAGTAGAATAATCTGTCTAAAGTTCTATGAAAAGCAAAGACACACCTGGCACCAAACACTCCTCTATTAATTTCTAACTCAATACTTTCCCCAAAGCATCATGTTGATTACTCCGCTTTTAAAGATTTGTTCACAAATAATCATTCAGTTTACATGAGGGATGTATTGATCTTGCTTAGCTTATTTTAAGATTAGAGAGACCTGAGAAATACAGGAGCAATGTTGTAATAAGGAACTTACAAGCTCCTTGCACTCATTCCATCACTTTGACTCACAGGGACTCCAGGATGAGTGTATTTGGTAAGGAGGCTCTGCAGTTCACTCTTGGGTGCTGACATTCCAAAGGCTCTTACCACATGGTTTCTTAATTTGCCATCAGATCCAGCTTCCTATCTAGTTATTCAGAGAGGTATTTATGGGGCAGCCTTGATGTATTTACTCATTCATTTAACAAATATTTTATTAAGCACCTACTGTATGCCATGTAACATTGGGTAATGGTTAAGCACTGTGGAAACTGGTATCCAGGTGGTTCTGGGCTTGATTTATTTCATTTCTGGTTCCATTTGCTTTTCTTCTGTTCTAGATGTTTAAAAACTACCTTGTAATAGGTCACAGCTATCAGGTTCATTGTAGGTTCTCAACAAATAATTATTGAAAGAATTGAAAGATGGCAGGAAAGTAACTGCAAAAGAGAATCTTAATTCTCATCCTCAGGTCCAGCCTCAGGACCCAACTTCCTGATTTTAGAATCTTAGGGGAGCTGGGCATGGTGGCTCTAGCCTGTAATCCCAGCACTTTGGGAGGCCAGATCACGAGGGGTCAGGAGTTTGAGACCAGCTTGGTCAACATGGTGAGACCCCATCTCTACTAAAAATACAAAAAGTTAGCGAGGCGTGGTGGTGCACTCCAGTAGTCCCAGCTATGCGAGAGGTTGCAGTGAGCTGAGATCGCACCACTGAACTCCAGCCTGGGCAACGGAATGTGACTCTGTCTCAAAAACAAAAGAAAACAAACAAACAAACAAAATTTTAGTGAGGGGCTTCACATTATATATAATCTTTACTTCTACCTCATCATCCCCACACCAAAAGAAAATTAGCTTCAGTTTATTTTGAATGATCCCAAGAACTGCTCTGATTCTTTTGGAACAACCGGGTTATTTGCCAGTGGACCTTGTTCACAAATGGTTAACAACGTGGTTTCATTCATTTTGAAGGCTGAGCAAATCACTATGGCTGGCCAAGAGGCTGAATTCACAAACAGCCTTCCTGAAAATGAGTTGGATATTTGAACTATTAAAATAATAGTCAACCACTATACATAGCTTTATTTTATGTGGATTGTTGTCACATGCATTTGAGAGGCCTGGGGGACAGTTATGTGGAAACAGTATTAGGCTTTGGGTATTTGAGTAGGGGCTGGGGACAGGTGGCTGGGTCATCATTATATAGCTCAAGACTTTTGGCTATGGATGACATCAGACTTGCAGTGAGTAACTTCTAAAAAAATAAGTATGAAAAATGTCCTGTTTCTACAACCATTAATTGCCCAGTTGGCTGATTCATTGCATATTTCTCTGGAGAGAGATTTTCTGAAATAACTCTTTGGTTGTAACTTGATGTTTGCTTGTTTTTTTGGAAAATAATCTTTTTGTTTTAGAATAGCATGGATTCACAGAAAAGTTAAAAAGATATTCAAGAGTGATCTCATATATTCTGCAACTTCCCCTAATGTTAAATCTTGCTTTACCATGGTGCTTTTGTCCCAGTTAAGAGATCAACATTGGCACATTACTATTAACTTAACTCTATGGTTTATTCATATTTCATCAGTTTTTCTCTAAAATATCATCCTTTTTCTGTCCCAGGATTCTATCCAGGATGCATTATATTTCTTTATCATGTCTCTGTAGCTTTCTTTGGTCTGTGACAGTTTCTGTGATGTTCCTTGGTTTTGATGACCTTAGCACTTTCAAAGAGTACTGGTCAAGTATTTTGTAAAATGTTCCTCAGTTTGGGTTTATATGATGTTTTTCTAATGATGAGATTGTGGTTATGGGTTTTTGGAAGAAAACCGTGAAAGTAAAATGCCATTCTCTCCACACATTACTTGAAGGGTAACTGTTATCAACATGACTTATCACTGATGATGTTAACTTTGATTGCTTGGCCAATGCAATTTGCCAGATTTCTCCTTTGTAAAGCTTATTTCTCCCTTTACTATATGCTTTAGCAGTAAGTCGCTAAATACAGCCACATTCAACAACTGGGGAGTTGAGTCCTACCTCCTTGAGGAAGGAATATCTACACAAATAATTTGGAATTCTTCTGTACTGGAGATTACCTTCTCTTGTGACCTATTTACTCAATAATTTATTTGTATCAGTAGGGACTCATGGATACTTATTTTACACTTTGGATTGTAATCCAGTACTACATTATTTATTTTGCTTCTCAAAATTTTTCTGACTTTGGCTGTTGGGAGATCTTTCAGTTTGGCTCCTGTGTCCCTTGACATACCCTCATCATTTTATTTTAAGGATTTCCTTACTTTCTGATACTGCAAAATGCTCCCAGCTGTATATTTGTATATACAGCCAAATGTACAGGAAATCCTGTATATTTCCTGCCCCAGTCCTAGAATCAACCATTTCTCCAAGGAGCGTTGGCTTCTTTTATTGGAAAATGGCATTAGAAACCAAGATCTTTGCTTTTGGTGGTGACTTGATGGTGCTTTTAATAGAACTTCAACTAGGGAGCAAGTTGATCATCTGTGGAATTAATTAACAGCCTGATGGGGTTGTTCCAAGATTTGACACAGTCAACAAAAAAAGCTTTAGAACATGCAAAAAAGTCTTAAGCTTTTGGGATATCAAGGTAGAGGTAGCTACTAGTTCTGTGTAACAGAAATAGTCCTTTATTAAAGCAACAGTTTTTAAAGAGTGATGCTCACTTTTTTCAACGTTCTGCTCCTCAAAATCTTGACTGCAATTGTCATGATGGTTTGCCTCATTCTCCTATCTCTTTATACTGGTACTTGGTGGGCATCTTTATCTTGGAACTTAGAAGCAAAATTACAGAAATATTAGTTTGGGAATGAGTAAAGACTTTGAAATGAGAACTCTAAATATATGGGATAGAAGGTCATGAAGCTCCATTGCCGGCTTCTCGAAAAGCCTACCATGGCAGTTTTTAGGGCCTAGTGTTGCCTTTCCTGGTCCCATGTGACTCTGCTAACTCAGCCACACTGCTTGGACCTGTGATTGGTAACTTAGACAAAGTCTTAAGATTCACCTACCCTGCCTTCTTCTCTTCTCTGTGTGCTCATCTATAATTAACTCCCATTACCCAAGGCTGTATCTCTAACACCAATGAAGTCTAAAAGGAGCTGGAGAAACAGTTAAATTCTTAACAATTTGAAAAAAACTAATATGTTATTTAAAACATTTGTTTTAAATATACACAGACACATATAACACTTGAATACATTTTAAAGGTAAACATTGAGGCTTCAATATTTTTTCAGATTTGCTAAACAATAAAAAAGGCTATGGCTCCATACAGTGAAAAGCAAGCCAGCAGTGGAAAGAATTGAGTACTGATATAGGCTACGATATGTATAAGCCTCAAAAAGATTACAGTTAATGAAAAAAGCCACATTAAAAAAAGCCACATATTGTGTGATTCCAATTATATAAAATGTTCAAAGTAGGCAAATCTATTAGTGGTTGCTTGGGGCAGGTGGGGAAAATGGAGATTAACTGTAAACAGGCACGGGGATCATATTGGGATGATGGAAATGTTCTGAAACTGGAATACGGTGATGGTTGTACAACTCACTAAATTTATTAAAGGTCATTGAGTTGTACATTTCACAGGTGAATATGACAGTGTGAAAATTACACCTCAGTAAAGTTGTTTATGAAAAAAAAGGTAAGGAAGCGAGAGAGAAAAAAGGTTATGGCTGCCAGAGCCTCTGGAGGCGGGTGGGTTCAGCTGTTAGGGGTATTCGGGGGGAAAGTTTTAAAAGCATAATTATAAAGTAACTTGGAGGTGTCTAGTCCCTGCAACCCGAAAGAACCTAGCTAAGCACTAATGTTACCAGCAGTGAATCTGCATCTCTATGGGTCTGCAGCAACCTCACTTTTTGCCTCCTCAGAGGAAAGAATTCAAGTGATGGGCAGAAGGCAGAAGGAGAGACCAAGGTATGTTTTACAGCAGGAGTGAAAATTTATTAGAAAGCTTTAGACCAGGAACAAAAGGAAGAAAATTATATTCGGAAGAGGGCTAAGCAGGTGACTTGAAAGTCAAGTTTGGGGTTTGACCTTTTGACCTGGGGTTTTATACTTGGCATATTTCCAGGGTCTTTTGGGCCTTCTCCCCTGATTCTTCCCTTGGGTGGGCTGATATTAAGGATGCTATGAAGATAAAGTGCTTAGAAATAGCCCTTGAACACAGTGGATGCCCAAGATGGCAGTCACTATTACTATTATTGTTCTAATGCTGGACATCAACTTCTTTTGTTTCTTTGGATATTCTGCTTGCTGAGTACCCTTTGCTGTGTCTTGATTTAATATTAGATTATCTTATTTCTTTTTTTCTCTTTTAAATATGAAAGCATTTGTTTATTAAAGTTTACAGAAAGTTGTTAGAGTTTGTGTACGTGCTTTCAAAAGGGTCACTTGAAGTACCCACTTTTTGCTTAAGAGGTTTACTTCCCTTCGATGTCATCTACAAAATGCCTGGCCCTAAATAATTCCTTACCTAAAAAAGGCTTTTCTCTGGGTGGAGTTCAGATTCTTCCTGTCCCTCTATCTGAGCTAAGCCTTCTGTTCTGTTTGTGTTTTCTGGGCTGTGGAGTAAGAAGGAGTTTGTTTAGCTGTTCCCCCGTTTTTAGGAAGGAGCATTTCCTGATTGGGGTTTGGGCTGAAAATGGAACTTTCCCTGGGTGAGGTAGAAAATTCCAGAAGCCAGGACTATTTCTGCAAAACAAATCCCCAACTTCACCTCCACCACACCATGTGTAACAGTTGGAGGAAACTCTTGGAATGGTAAGAAGCTGTGGAGTTAAACATCCCCAACTACCTCTACCACCCCATGTATAATAGTTCAGAGGATATTCTTGCTTAATATAATTCAATTTTTAATATTGTCTCATATACAAGTGCATTTTTATAGAGGCCCATGATTTTGCCTTGACTGACTTGTTCTACCAAGCTATATCGTGCCCATCTTCAAGTTACATAAAGAGTTTATAACTAAATAATTTTGCTTTCTATAAGATGTTTAGATGAGCTATATTGTATACTCTTTGAGGTGTATGTGTGTGTTTTATTCAAAAGTACCCACAGGAGGGTAGAACGCTACGAGAAATGAATGAGGACATATTTCTACTTCGCTCTGGTGGCCAGAATTGGAGGAAATCCAAACGTGGAAAAGAAAATCCTAGGCTGTGCTGCTGAAATCTCTGTGGTGTTATTTTAGATTCCAAAAAGATTAACTCATGCTTTAGTAAAAGTACTGCTGGGGGATATTTTTTAAAAACCAATTTCATAGGGGTACTTGTTATTAATATATCATTAAATGCACTCATTCTTTGTGTACAATTCCTGAATCTTGACAATGTGCACTCATGCAATCACCACCACAATCAAGATATAGAACATCGCTATTATTGCCAGGGGGATTTTTCATCCTAATAAAGTCTTCTAGTAGAAGAAGGGCAAGACTGTGAGTAGGAATTAAGTTCTCTTAAAGGGAGAAAGGGCTTATATTCTGAAGGAGTCATGGTGGGGTTTTACTGCCCAGAAGAGGATGTGGCAGTAACTGACCACAAGAGTAAAAGTAAGCCAGCATTTGGAGTTTTCCATGAGTAAAGGCTTTTCTTTTCTTTTTTATTTTACTCGAAGTCATATGTATTGTCCTATGTTAAGTGTCATCAATCTTTTACAATGTCACAGACTGTAGGTTAGTAGCAGGTGGCTAAGCACAGGGCAGCAAAGGAAATACGACCGTCTCTGCATCACCCCTTGGCTGAGGCCAGCAAGGCAGAGGCTGCACCCTCATCAGGATGAACAAGAGCCTTGCAGTTCTAGGGACCAGGCTTAAAGAAATGATGGCTCAAGATGGAGCTGGGAATGGTAGAGAGGAAACATGTGATGGAAGAAGGCAGCTGCAGTTTGGACTAACTCAGAAGCATATAGCCCCAGATAATCCTTAAAATAGGGTTGTTGGATTTAGCAAATAAAAATACAGAATCTCATTAAATTTGGATTTCAGATAAGCAATAAATAATTTTCAGTATAAGCATGTCTCATGAAATATTTGGGTTGTACTAAAAAATTTTGTTGTTTATCTGAAATTGAAATTTAACTGACATCTCGTATTTTATTTGGCAACCTTACATTACAAGAAAGACCAGCAACTTGGTTACAATGTTGATACTGAATCAAAAGGATCAAAAGTGAAATAAGAAACATAAGAATACACATCTTAGGGAGGTTGAATAAAGAGTGGTGTGTGTGTGTGTGTGTGTACAAAAATGATCAAAGATAATCAAAATTGAAAGGACAATACTTTTTGACTTGAGCCCAAAGTAAGCTTGATATTTTATTTATTTGATTTGAATTTTTGTTTTCTGGTGAGCATGTTTTTGATGTTTAGTTTTGAACTGGTTTGTAATCTTTAAAAAAAAAATTGGTGCTAAAACATTTATTACATAAAAAGTGACCTTCTCTTTCACCTTTCTTCATCCCTTAGTTTCAGTCTCCAGAAATAAGCAATTTCAATTCTTTTTAGAAATTATATCTAATATATACCTCTACATTTCAAATAACAGTCTTATGATATTTCTTTATGTTATTTTTATATTTCCTGCACCTCTCTGATTCTTCTCTCTTTATCTCCCCTCTCTACCATTTACCCAATCTATCACCATTTTGGTTTCAATTGAGCTGTTGTTTACATTGTTTCAATCTACAAATGACATTTATTGCTGAGATAAGGAGTATATTATGATCACATCTTAATACAATGTGGGTTGTTCTTGGGGTTAATAGTTACCTCTGTTTCACGAAGAATATATTTTTCTTGGGGAGTGCTACATGTCTCAAAACGTCTTATATCTGTGTGGGTCAGCTTTGGCAGAGAAGAATCCAGCCTCCACAATGGTGTGGGATGAAGGGGAAATGAGTTATCTCGCTACTGTCATTTTGGGGCAGGTGGAAGAAGGAGGCTAAAGTCCCTATAGTTGAGAATGTGGGTTTTTAGTTAATTGCTGTGTTTTCAGTCCCACATGTAATGCTATCCCTTTGCTGCGTCTTCTGCTCTGTTTGTCTTGTTGGGTTAACACGTTTAAAAAATTCCTTTACTGGAATTTCACTGAGGTTTGGCAAGGAAAGGCAGAAAACCATGGAGAATAATACATCTCAGCCAACTACTTTTCACAAACCATCTTTATCAGTCAAGGGCCCTTAAATTCCAGCTAAATAGACTGTGCTGACTTTAAGGAGTGGAATGCCATTATTCTCCTTTCCAACCAGACTCTGAGCTGAGTACTGTCTTGCTCTGTATAGGGCTTGCATTTACTGAGTTTAGTTTCTAATTCTTGTACTTAGGTCATCTCTTGCTTGTTGTGGGCTTATTTTAACGGATGGAAAGAAATAGGCCAACCTGGAAACAGCTCAAAATATAGTTGTTGGGAAGTGAGATGATGAAAGGCATGAATGTGATTAAATGTTCAAATTCCTGTTGAGTGCTAAATAGAGATTCTTTGACATTGGGTCCTTTAATCAAGATTGAAAAAATTTTGCTGAAGTGAATACGTACCTTAGTGATTAGGAAGTAGGGTAGCATTTGAAATGCAATTGTGGAAGCAGTGAAATATATCCAAGAATCCACAAAGCAGCCACTTGTCTACTATTACCCATAATGGACTCCAATATAAAGAATTTTGTTGAAATTCTTTGGATATCTGTGATTTCTAAATCTATTTATGACAGCTAATAACATTCCTTGGTTATTATTAGGAATATTCCTAGTCTTCCACAGGGGGAAGAGAGATTCTTAAGGATGCCTTGATGTATAACTAGGTGGGAATGCAGTTACATTTCTCTTTGAAGGTTTTGAGGATAATCCTCTAGCTTGCTAACTGACCTTATTTTAAAGCTATTATGCTCATGGAAATCAGTGGAGCTTTTATGATTTTATGTGAGTATGGAAAAAGCAATAAGTGGGAAAATATTCCATTAGATTTGTACAGCATTTTTGGAATGCCTGATTAGGTGGAAAAAAATAATAACATTACTGAGTGGCTACCATATGGCAGACATGGTGTTAAGAATTTTAAAGGCATTATCATTATTTAAATCATTGGAATAACCACATTAGGTAGATACTATAATTATATACATTTTATAGATAAGAAAACTGGGATCATGAAAATGGTAAGTTGTGACCCCATATTCTGAAGCTAGGTATTTCAGGTAAGATGTATAGTGGATAATAGCAGTGGTCTACCAGATCCTCCAGGATCTAATTTTACTCATGTGTGTGTGTGTGTGTGTACATGTGTGTGTGGACTTTTGTGTGCATTTGCTTCCAACAGTTACCACCTCCATTTTTTTTTTTTTTTTTTTTTTTTTAAGAATTGTACCCAGGTCATTGGATCTCTTTTTTTCTGGGACAGCCTCTGGTCAGTGACTCAAGTGTGAGACCATGAAAGCACCCCTTTCTTACCTCAAATTGGGACAACATGGAGACGCTGAGTTAACTATCTTTGCTTTGGAGTGTTCCCTTTATGGTTGTAGCTCCTACCTGTGGGACTCTGCCTGAGATTTCCCCCTCCCCTAGTTTCCTCACTATTCTCACCTCTTCTAACTCCCTACTTCCCCACCCTCCCTTACCGTTTTTTTGGGGGGCACACTTCCTCAATAAGTTACTTATACAGAAATCCTTATTTTGGGGTATGCTCCTAGGAAACTTGATGCAGAACAGAATAATTTTTTAACAAAACTAGTTGTGAGACCCACCCCCATTCACCAGCTACTACGCAATAAGGCTGGGATAGAATAGATGTATAGGAAGAGAAGACAGCCTCAATGCCCACTATCCTAACTCGACTTGGAACAACCACACTATGCATACCCTGAGAGATTCAAACATATTGGCCCTGGTCTTTCAGACTGCACATGACCTAGACTCAGCCTATTGCTTTAACGTCATGTCCTATCATTCCTCTCCTCACTTTTCCAGAGACATGACCTTCCTTTAGTTCCTTGAACACACCAAGCTCATTACTGCCTCAGGGGCTTTGTACTTACTGTTCCCATTCTTATCATTTAGGTCTCAGTTCAAATGACACTGTCTTAGAAAATCACACTTGACCTCTGTCTAAAGTTACATCTAACTCTCATATCATTTAAAAATCACCATATTCTATTTTCTTTCTAGCATTTATTGTCACATGAAATCACCTCACTGATTTGTTTATTTGCTTATTGTCTGTTCTCCTGCCCAGAAATGTTACTTGCCTGAGGTCAGAGACTGGGTCTGTGTTGGTCATGGCTGTATCCCCAGTGCTTCTTAGTTCAGTGCCTGTCTCACATTGTGATCAGTATACACATGCATGACGATGAAAATATTGCCTCCATGGAAAGGGTAAAGAAAGTTCCTTTTCCTTCTATGCTTGTCTGCTCTCTTTGTTCTTCATTATGTTGTTTGTCAAGGATATCAGATGAATAGAAATGGAAATAGAAATCTATGATCTCTCTGGAGCACATAGCAAGGAGTGACATGTTACAGGATACAGACAACCCAGATGGCCATCTGGTGTGTTAATGATGTTTGATTTGTGTTCAAAGCAAGTTTATGTTGCCCTTTCTGAGGCTTGGTTCTAAAATTTCTGACTCGAAATTTTCCTGCTGACCTGGGAAACTCTTCTTCCTCTCTCTTTCCTTTAATGGTATTTTAAAAAAAATTGGCTCCATTGTTCTGTAGAACATAAAGGCTAACTCCTATTCCCTGTATCCTCACTCTATCTCTGCCCCTGTCTCAGGAGAGGTTTTAATATTTTAATATTCAAATAGATATTTTGGTTTGAAAGTGACGAATCTCCACTTGGATACTTGAACTGCCTCAAATGGACAAATGACTGGTTGTTGATCATAGTTCATAGTTTTCAAGAGAAATTATGTCACTTGCATCAGGAGTGCTTGGGCACCTAACCATGTGTGGAAAAAGGAAAAATGCTGACTGCTAACCCCCTGCTTTATTAATGCATTTTAAAATGAACTAGGCATGGTGGTTCATGCTTGTAAACCCAGTACTTTGGGAGGCCAAGAAGGGTGGATCACTTGAGGCCAGAAGTTTGAGACCAGCCTGGGCAAGATGGTGAAACCCCATCTCTAGAAAAAAATCGAAAAAAATGAGCTGGGTGTGGTTGCATGTGCCTGTAGTCCCAGCTACTCAGGAGGCTGAGGTCAGGGGACCACCTAAACCTGAGAAGGTTGAAGCTGCAGTGAGCTGTGATTAAGCCACTGTATTCCTGCCTGGGTGACAGAGTGAGATCCTGTGTCAAAGAAAAAGAAAAAAAAAAAAAAAAAAGAGAAACAGCAAACTTAAAACAATTCTTGGCTTGGACCTGTAGGACTCTGTGCACATGTATCTGGCATTTCACAATAACCAGTTAATTTCTTTCTACTTACCAATGTCATTGTTTCACTGTTGATGTGTTTATGTCATGCAATCCCTTCTTCTAGCAAATTTAGAAAGGTCTAACTTGAAGCTTGGATAGTCATGGGTCAATTAGGGTACAGAACAATATAAAGAAGGGGCCAAGTTATAAGACCTTGACTGTAAATAGAGAGGAAGGAAAGAGGAAGTTGAGTAATAAACACAGGTAATCCAAATCAAGTTGTCAAGCCAATGACGGGACCACAAGGAAACGAAGCTTGTTGTTTAGCTGAGACTGAAACATGGCAAGAAAGGAATGAGAGCCCCACTTGTCCAAATCAAGATAAATAAAACAGCAATAAAAGGAAAATGTATATTTGAGGACTTTGAAAAATGGGTGTGGCCACTCCTATTCAACATAGTGTTGGAAATCGTAGCCAGAGCAATCAGGCAAGAGAAACAAATAAATGGCACCCAAATAGGAAGAGAAGTTAAACTATCCCTGTTTTCAGACAACACGATCCTATATCTAGAAAACCCCATAGAGTCAGCCCAAAACCTCCTTCAGCTGATAAACAACTTCAGCAAAATTTCAGGATACAAAATCAATGTTAAAAAAAATTAGCATTCCTACACCAACAACAGCCAAACTGAGAGCCAAATCAGGAAGACAATGCTATTCACAATCACCACAATAAGAATAAAATACCTAGGAATAAAGCTAGCCAGGAAAATTAAGAGCTCTACAATGAGAGTTACAAAACATTGCTTAAAGGAATCAGAGAAGACACAAACAAGAGGAAAAACATCCAATGCTCACAGAGAGGAAGAATCAATATCATTAAGATGGCCAAACTGCCCAAAACAATTTATGGATTCAATGCTATTCCTGTCAAACTACCAACAACATTTTTCACAGAACTAGTAAAAGCTATTTTTAAATTTGTATGGGACTGAAAAAGAGCCCGAATAGCCAAGATAATCCTAACCAAAACGAATAAAACTAGAGGCATCACAATATCTTACTTCAAACTACATGACAGGGCTACAGTAACCAAAACATGGTACTGGTACAAAAACAGCACATAGACCAATGAAACAGAATAGAGAGCCCAGAAATAAGCTCACACACCTATGACCATTTGATCTTCAACAAAGCTGTCAAAAACAAGCAACAGGGAAACGATTCTTTATTCAGTAAATGGTGCTGTGATAACTGCTAGCCATAGGCAGAAGATTGAAACTGGACCCCTTCCTTACACTATATACAAAAATCAACTCAAGATAGATTAGAGACTTAAGTGTAAAACCCCAAACTACCAAAACCCTGGAAGACAACCTAGGCAATACCAACCTGAACATAGGAACAGGCAAAGATTTCATGACAAAGACATTAAAAGCAATTGCAACAAAAGCAAAAATTGACAAATTGTATCTAACTAAACTTAAGAGCTTCTGCACAGCAAAAGAAACTATCAACAGAGTAAACAAACAATCTATAGAATGGGAGAAAATGTTTGCAAACTATGCATATGACAAAGGTCTAATATTCAACATCTATAAGGAATTTAAGCTTATATGAGAAAAACAAACCACCCCATTAAAAAGTAGGTAAAGGGCTGGGCATGGTAGTTCACACCTGTAATCCCAATACTTTGGTAGGCTGAGGTGAGTGGAGCACCTGAGGTCAGGAGTTCAAGACCAGCCTGTCTGGCCAACATGGTAAAACTTGTCTCTACTAAAAATACAAAAATATTAGCTGGTTGTGGTGGTGGGCACCTGTAATCCCAGCTATTTGGGAGGCTGAGGTGGGAGAATGTAGGGATCTGGAGTAGCACACCCCCTCTGGGGGGATCAGCAGCAAGGCTGCTGTGAACTTTGGTTGAACTTCAGAGAGGTGAAACCGTAATAGGAGGATGTATATGTCTCAGAGAGAACACAGACGGGCCTAGAGAGATAACCAGCTTTTGCTGACCTTGCTGCAAGATAGTTGTTAGCTGAAGTATGTTAACTGAAGTATGAGAATTATAACCACAGGCTGTTCTAAGTAACTGTATACTCCCTCTGCTATGTGCTTTGTGAACAAATAAAAAAGTATACTGAGACAGGTCGGGGCCGCGAGACTGACATCCTCACCTCTCGAACCGCCTGGCCCAGCTTTTCCTATGTCTGTGTCTGTATATTTGTCTTTCCTTATCCCTCACCATTCCCTCTTAGGTCTTCGAACCCCTGTGCAGCAAGGGATGTGGCACAGGAGAATTGCTTGAACCTGGGAGGCAGAGGTTGCAGTGAGCTGAGACAGGCCATTGCACTCTAGCCCAGGCAATAAGAAGAAAACTCCATCTCAAAAAAAAAAAAAGTGGGCAAATGACATGAACAGATACTTTTCAAAAGAAGACATATGTGTAGCCAACAAGCATATGAAAAAAAGTTCAACATCACTGCTCATTAGAGATATGCAAATCAAAACTACAGTGAGATACCATCTCATACCAGTCAGAATGGCTATTATTAAAATTATTAAAATGACAAAAAATTATAGATGCCGACAAGGTTGTGGAGAAAAGAGAACACTTATACATTGTTGGTGGGAGTGTAAATTACTTCAACCATTGTGGAAAGCAGTAAGGCAATTCCTCAAAGAGCTAATAGCAGAACTACCATTTGACCCAGCAATCCCATTACTGAGTATATACCCAGAGGAGTATAAATTATTCTATCATAAAGACACATGTATGTGAATAATCATTGCAGTACTATTCACAATAGCAAAGACATGGAATCAACATAAATGCCTATCAATGACAGACTGAATAAAGAAAATGTGGTATATATACACCATGGAATACTATGCAGCCATAAAAAAGAATGAGTTCATGCCTTTTGCCAGAACATGGATGGAGCTAGAGGCTATTGTCTTTAGCAAACTAATACAGGAACAGAAAACCAAATACTGAATGTTCTCACTTGCAAGTGGGAGCTAAATGATAAGAACTTATAAACACAACGGACACTGATGTCTGCTTGAGGGTGGAGGTTGGGAGGAAGGAGAGGAGCAGAAAAGGTAACTATTAAGTGGTGGGATTAATACCTAGGGATAAAATAATCTGTACCACAACTCCCTATGACACGAGTTCACCTTTGTAACAAACCCTTACATGTACCCCTAAACCTAAAACTTAAAAAAAAAAGAAACGAAAAATGGATGGCAAATCGTGCTTTTCATTCATTGATTTATCTAACCATACATTCATTCATGTATCAGCTATGTTTTCAGCCTCTACCTTATTTCACTTGGTCTAATGACCCTTGCTTCTGTGTAAAACAATTTGTATTTAGTTCATCTGCTTTCTCTAAAAGGCGCTGTTTTGCAATCTGTAAAGTTTCTGTAACAGACAGTCTCCTTAGCCTTCTAACTTCCCTTTGCTGGTTTTTGATATTTTCAACACTGGGGGAGTAGAAGTAGAAGTGGTAGTGAAGAAAGAGAGGATGTAGAGAATTTGTGGCTACGATGTAGTCGGGGTATGAATGGACTGGTCATTGGAGATCATGTTGGGGAGGGGGAAGTGTCTCTGTTGATTAATTTTGGCAAGAACTCAGGTGAGACTTTGACAAGCTAGGTTTATGTCCTGTGGTCCTGAGAGCCTCTCTGTATATAGTTAGCAGCGCATTCTCTTTGACTGGGAGGTCTGGCCAAAGGCAAGGTAGCTTTGAGTCTTTGGTGCCTTTTGCTTAGTATTTCCTCCCATTCTCCACCTGTTAGGTACACATTAGAATTGTATTTCTTGGACCTTATGTGGTTGCAAGGGCCACATGACTAATTCTATCCAATGAGCTGAGAGGAAAAGTGACCTGTGTCTCTTCTGGGCTGAAACATTTAATTGCAGGTGAGAGACCTTCCAGAACACTCCTTTTCTCTCCTCCATTGACAGTGGGCAATATTGGAATTGGCAGTTGCCCTGTTAGCCTGAATCCTGTGGTGAGAAGATCTGAGGAATAGCACCTCTCCCATCTGATCTGTGACGCACAGAGAATATGAATCAATAGCTTTGTTGTAACTAGCTACTAAAATTTTGGGATTGTACCATTCAGGACATAGGCATAGGCAAAGACTTCATGACTAAAATACCAAAAGCAATTGCAACAAAAGCCAAAAATGACAAATGGGATCTAATGAAACTAAAGAGCTTCTTCACAGAAAAAGAATCTATCAGAGTGAACAGGCAACCTACAGAATGGGAGAAAATTTTTTCAAACTATCCATCTGACAAAGGGCTAATATCCAGGATCTGTAAGGAACTTAAACAAATTTACATGAAATTAGCAAACAACCTCATCAAAAAGTGGGTGAAGGATATGAACAGACACTTCTCAAAAGAAAATATTTATGTGGCCAACAAATATATGAAAAAAAGCTCATTGTCACTGGTCATTAGAGAAATGCAAATCAAAACCGCATTGAGATACCATCTCACACCAGTTAGGACGGTGATCATTAAAAAGTTAGGAAACAACAGATGCTGGAGAGGATGTGGAAAAATAGGAACACTTGTAGACTGTTGGTGGGAGTGAAAATTAGTTCAACCATTGTGGAAGACAGTGTGGTGATTCCTCAAGGATCTAGAACCAGAAATACCATTTGACCCAGCAATCTCATTATTGGGTATATACCTAAAGGGTTATAAATCATTCTACTATTAAGACACATGCACATGTATGCTTATTGCGGGACTATCCACAATAGCAAAGACTTGGAACCAACCAAATGCCCACCAATGATAGACTGGATAAAGAAAATGTGGCACATATACACCATGGAATACTATACAGCCATAAAAAAGAATGAGTGCATGCCCTTTGCAGGGACATGGATGAAGCTGGAAACCATAATTCTCAGCAAACTAACACAGGTACAGAAAGCCAAACACACATGTTCTTATAAGTGGGAGTTGAACAATGAGAACACATAGACACAGGGAGGGGAACATCACACACCGGGGCCTGTCAGGTGATACAGGGCAGGGGGAGGGAGAACATTAGGACAAAAACCTAATGCATGCAGGGGTTAAAACCTAGATGATGGGTTGACGGGTGCCACAAACCACCATGGCACATGTATACCTATGCAACAAACCTGCACGTTCTGCACATGTATCTCACAACTCAAAGTATAATAATAAAAAATATTTAGGATTGTGTGTTACCAAGCAGTATCTAACCTTTACTTTCCTAAAAGAGATGATATCACTTCCAAGAATATGAAAATTGGCTCTTGGGATAGGAGAAAAAATTACAGTGTGTACATACCGTACATAAGCAGATATTTAGCATATTTGTGGTATTCAGATTTCATGGGGGAATGGGGGTAATGGAAAGATACTGGTCAAAGAGTATAAATTTTCACTTAGACAGGAGACGTAAGTTCTATAAATCCACTGAAAAGCATGGAGATGAGATTATAGTTAATAATAATGTACATTTGAAAATTGCTAAGAGAGTAGATTTTAAATGTTCCAGCCACAAAAAATGATAAATATATGAAGTGATGGATACGTTAATTAGTGTGATTTAATTTTTCCATGGTGTGTGTGTGTGTGTGTGTGTGTGTGTGTGCGCCCCATAAATATATATATATATATAATTTACATCGTGCCCCATAAATATATTTAATTTTTATTTGGCAACTAAAAATAATAAATTTTACAAACTAAATATCGTGGGTTGGGGGATCATGAAAAAATTTCTAAAAAGACTCTTTAAGGGAAGTGATAATGAGAAATCAGTTCAGAGACACTGGACTAGCTCAGCCTGAATGACAGAATTATAAAGCGCAGTGTCTGTGTTTTCTCTCTGCTGCTCCTTGTATCATTTTTTCCCCTCTTCTGTGTCTCCTCTTGTTGATACCCAGTGCCAAGATGAATATATGCCTGAAACTTTTAGGGTACACCTATTTTAACATTTTCTATTCCTTTGTTCTCATAAGCACTTTCTAATTTTCCAGGCATATTCCTGAATCCTGGCTTAGAAAAATTTGTTCGGCTTGTCCAGGGTCTACATGGTCTCTTGATTTCCCTTGAATAGAAAGGTTCTTAAAGTTTTCTTAATGGTCTTACAAGGAAAGGACAGTCAAAATGCATATGGGAAACTTCTAAAAGTTCCTCTGGCCTTGAGGAATAGTCAAGAAAGAAGTACATTTAATCTTTTGGTTAAGACATTGAGAATGTTGAGCTTAGTGTGTACACGAAATCCGATACAGCTTCTCTGTCATTGAGACCTGACTAAAAGCATAATTTTGAGTTGAGGGAAAAAGTGGTGTACACTAGCTTTGTAAGTACACAGAGGAGACAGGTGTCCATGGCGGCACCCCTGGACGACCTAATCTCCAACTGGAAAACATCATCTTTTGCAAGACAAAGGAATTGAGTCAGATATAAATGAGCCTCAAAGCTATTAAACAACCCAGTGAGGAGTAAGCCCCTACTTCCAAAGTAAAATTCTGGAGATGAGCCGGTGCTCAGGTGGACAGAAGGAGTGATGGGCACACTTCAAGGGGCTATTCTATTAGGTTTCCTTTCAACCTTTTCAAAAACAATAGTTTTTCATCTGCAAAACAGAGTAGGGGAAAAAACAGTTGTGCAGAAGTGGATTTAAAATCAAGCAAAAGGCAGGTCCTCCTCTTACTATATTGTCATGAGAAAGACATGGACCAGCTCTCTTTTGGAGATAGTCAGCATTCTGAGTAGCATGTCATATCGGGTCCCAGTTAGGGCATGGGACTTTGATGATGCCCTTCTGCCCATTCAGTTGATGTGTTGAGGCTTGAGTTGACCCCTTTGGCATGTAGTCATTGCTTAATAAATGTTTTTAAAATAAATGAATGTACCTGTCATCAACCATAACGATTCCCAGGGAAAACACCCAGACTGTGAAGGTGTCCTGCCCTGAAAGCAAGGGTGGGACGATAGGGGAATGGGCAGCAGGTGCCATGCTTCCTTTTTATCCTCATTTCCCACTACCCCCAATAAATTGGTGTTTTTTTTTTTTTTTTTTTTTTTTTTTTTTAAATATGCCTGGTGTTG